TAGACACAATTTGAGTGTAATAGACCTGCATAAAAGAGTTTTATAATATTTTCTTATGCATTACACAAATTTTTGCTAGTTTTCTTTATACTAAGTATTTTTATAGGTTCTCATAAAATGTTTAAGCAGCTTTTTCTGTTAACTTCTTGTGTGTACTTCAAGTTTTCAGCATATTTTCTTTTAGCATTTAATGTGAGTGTATTTGGAATGTCGTTAATTATGTATTTCTTCTTGAGCTTTTCCAAGAACTTGCCACATTTTGCCTCAGTTTGAATTTGTATTTACGTAAACTTTTATTTGTCGCTCCCCCTTGGACGTAATTTATGTTTAAAGAGCTTAAAAGCGCAATCCTTGAATGTCAGCGACTGTCCACACCTCCATCAGTTGAGAGTTGTCGTATTCAAGTTCGAGTGGAATGGAGTCAAATTAGTTTAAGAATCGAGCAAAGCAGCCTTGTACAGCCCGAGGTGCTTCAAGCACAAATCAAAGGACACAGAAGACAGAAAAAAGTGGGCAGACGGACGATGTCCTTGCAAAACTGATTTCCATTCGATGTGAGTCCAATTTGCTGCAGCTGATAAGTGCAGCGTATCTGAACTTAGATCATTTAAAATTTAATAAAATTGAGCTCTTTGTCTTTGTCTCTGTGTGTGTGTGCAAACAGAAGCCCCAACTTCTAGTCGACTCCAACGCCAGCTCCAACTCGATGTTGGTAATGAAATATCTAACGACCGGAAGTCAATAGCAAATACTTAATAATGTTGTTGATTTGCCTCGCTTTGTGGCTGGTTGTTCGTTCGCCTGTGGCTGCCATTTGGCTGTGGCCTGGCTGCGTGTAGTTTGTTGCACCTTGCCCCACCTGTCGCTGGGGCACAGTTATAAGGATGTGCCAGCAAATGTTCTAATTGATTTGAGTGCAAAGTCAAAAGGCAGCTTAAAATCTGAACAGTTACTTCAATTGCATCTATTTGGCTTAAGGAATTTGCCTCGCACATTGATACGTTATCAACAAATATTGATTATAAAGCTATAACTTCCGTTTTTAACTTCCGGCTCTTCCGTTTTCACACAACTTTTATTTTAATTTTGAACATTTTCAATTCGCGCCAACAACTTCAGTTTCAGTTTCGCGCTGAAATTCTAAGAAATTGCCAATCACTATAAAGTGGACTCTAAATAATTGCCAAACTGCCGTTATGTTAGATAACGATCACATTTGCCGTTGATACAACCGGAAGTTAACTTGTTCACACGCGTGCCAAACACACACTCGAACTGAAAGTTCCCACATGCGCCCGCCCATGCGGACAGACAGACCTTCAGATGTCTTTCTCTTAAAAAAATAATTTGAATACATTTAGGCCTTTCTCTATTTTAATATTGTATTAAAGTCTTGTGTCTTGGCCTAGTTTTAGGTGGTACAGTTGTTCTTATCAGTTGTGATAAGTACCAAAATAACCTGCACTAATACATTTTTGGGAGTACTCCATTTCCTTGATGGCAACATCGGCGCTGCGCGGTTTCTTGGAATTTTGATAAGCGTCATAGGCGAGAATTGCGCACATTAGAAAAAAAACAAAAGAAATGAAAAGAGAATGAAGATTAGAAGTCAAATGCTTAATGTGAATCACTGAGCAGTGGGCGTAATTCAAGTTCATTCACTAGCCTTGATTAGCTTGCATAAAAAGCGAGGATTAGCTCTGTGGACTACGTGACACTTAGAATGTAGACCCCATTAGTTCTAGTACTTCAAGCTCGCTATGCCCAATCGCCAATAAGATTTCAATACACACAGACGCTGCACATGCACTTGGACGCCTGAGGGCTTAAAGCTTGGCAGTTAAGAGAGGCACAAGTTCACTCATACATGTACACACGCACACATACATAGATATGGCATAATCTTGTCAAATGTAGAGTCGCCAGCCGGAGCTCACCTACTTAAACAAAAATTCTGATTGGAGCTGCACATCTTGATTTGGATCGTAGAGCATGTAATGACTTGATTGACCCAGTTCAGAGCGTGAAGAGCGAACAATGAACACCTCATAAGTATAGATATGTCTGATGATTGCCAACCGCATCTCAGCTAGCATGCAAGCCATTGACCAGGAATGTTGCCTGGCGTAGGCCTTAACACCCAAGTGGCTCGTCGTTATGGTGTGTGTGGCCCCGGCCATGGAACTCCATCAAGATGTATTGCAGGCATTGTATGGGCCAGTCACCAGGTAATTCATAATGAATTTCAGACACGCACAGACGTTTTGTAATTTAAAGTTGTAACTACTGCGTTTTAAAGAGTTTTCCCTTTTGGCCAACTAGTCGTAAGACATGGGACATACTACATAAACATTGGCAATGTCAAAGATGTGTAGCTACCTGTGTAAGTTAAGCTCGGCAATTTCTTGAACACGCAGATGCGCCCACCTCGAAGGCCCATTCTCACATCTTGCACATACAATTCATGCATATTTATATACATTTATCTACATATGTATATATATCTGTATGTTTATTTGAGTGTTGCGGTGGGGTTTCCCCTGCGTTTGTCGCCAATTATATGCGGTTTTGTGATAATGACCAAATGATCTCAGCGCCGCAGCCCGCTGCCCGCCTCGTCGCCGCACGTAATTTCAATTCATTCATAGACTCGAAACACGACGCCGCATCGGGCGTTTGTTTCATTCATAAATTTACCTGGTCGCGTTGTCATAATAGCTCTATCTTATGGCTCTTGTTTTCCTTCTCTTTCTTTTGCCTTTCTATATACTCGCGTATATATCGTACTTATAATTTGTGCGAGTCGTTGCCGTCTGCGTCGCCGTTGCCGTCGCCGTCGCCGTCGCCTTCGCCTGCGTTTCTGCGTCTTCGGCGTTTCGGCTCTCCTAGCCGTTTTGCTTTATCACATTCACATACATTATTTACCACGGGCCTGTGTTCGATAGCGATACGAATGGGAGGCAAAGCAAACGGAAGCAGCGGAAGCGGCGACGCCGACGTCGATCATTGTTGTTTCTTCTGCTGCTGCTGCTGCTGACGCTGTTGTTGTTCTTGTATATATTTTTGACGTTAAGAAAACGAGCCGACATCGCTTCTTCTTCTCTTCTACAACTTCTTGTTGTTGTCTCATTGTCTGTTGCTGAAGTTTTTTTGTCGAACGAGAATGCGCGTGCAAGGCAACATAAGAAATTCATTCATAAATTCGATGCCTTAGCTGTTGTTGCTATTGCTCTCTGCCTGCACAGGGAGCTACAATGTGTGTAAGGAAACTTGAGAAGGTTTGCCACATGTGAGGTGCATGCATTCATATACAAACATATGCACTCGTACCTATGTATGTGTAAGAATATTGAGCAGCTACTTTAGAGCTGTTGGTCACCTGATCTCGTTTGCTCACGTTGCCAAAGTTCTTTTTGCCAGTAAAAGATATGGGGAGAAAGAAAAAAGCTAGCGTAGGGCAGAGCTTTTGAACTTTGCACACACTTGCTGGTTTACTTTTGTGCACCTGTTACACCCTGTAAGCAGTGTCACCTGTTGCCTGCCTTTGCCGTTCGCCTGTTTTTGTTTGTTATTTGCTTTGGCTTTCATTCTGTGCGTTTTTTCTCATTGCTAAACAAACAGCTTGTTGTTGTGTTGTTTTACTAGGTGTAGCTGTTGTTGCTTTTGTTGTTGTCGGCACGATGTGATGGCCGTTTCCGTTCCACACACACTCGCATACACATACGCACGCAAGCACGCACGCATATATGTACATAAACATACGCTCTCCCATTATTACGCTCACACGTAGCGCTGCTCAGTTTCGTTTGTGAATGAATTCCACTTCGTTTCGCCTCGCTCTCAGATTTACGATAGCGTTGGCATTTCAATTCCACTTGTTGCACACGCCGCTCTCACTCTCGCGCTCTGCACTTCTGTTTGTGTCTCTCTGGCTCGTTTCTTCTCGTTGTTTAGGATACCCAACGGACGAGCCGATCGTTTCGTTTCAGTTTGGCTTCACAAATCCAGCAATCCAATAGATACACAGAGAACCGACCAGTTACAAAAATTATTTCAGTTTTGTTTTTTTGTTGTGCATTGTGCAACGTAAATTTTAACTTAAATAAATTTAAATAAATCTTATCGTTCTCCGCGCGCGTGTTCTATGTGTACTATGTGTGTATCTGTGCCCTATTGTGTTTGCATCTGTGTGTGTATGTTCTCTATGTAAAAGACAAATAAAGCAACGCAACTGATAAAGCCAACACTCGTTGCCAAGGCAATAATCACATCTCATAAGTTAATAGTAGTGCTGTGATGACTAATTAGTGTTTAATGTCAGCTATTCAATTGAATTAAGTGTGCATTGCAAACAAGTAAAGTAACCCACCACCAGATACATTTGTATCTACAAGATCATATTTCGCCTCGAAAGGGTCGCGACTTTCACTGACATTTCGGGTCAAATTTGTTGATACTGCTTTGATTTGTACGCCAATAAATTGAATGCAATTGAATTCAACGATCGCTGGCTGCCCACCCTTTGTGTGTGTGTGTGCGATACGAATGATCTTTAATTGGTTTGACTTTTGACACCCAAGAGAGCACAAACATACTTAACCCATACAAAAGATACATATTCATTTAGCCAGTTCAGATACAAGCTGCGAGCCGCTGTAACTGCTAAATTATGACAAACGAATGGATCGATTGGAATGATTGTCGTATGCTGCCGCCGCTGCGCTCGGCCCACTACAACAGCAACACCAACACCAACAGCAACAGCAATCACAATAACAACTACAACAATAATCACCAAACAATTCTTAGCAATAATTATCAAAGTTTAACAAGCAAATTTCATTTAAAAGCCCACAAACTGCAGCAGTTGCACACGAGCAATGGCAAACTGCGAGGTAATTGATTAGATATAATTGTGATAACTATATTGTAGAGCATTTAAATACATATGAGAGTACAATTTCAGGCACTAATTTGCATTCTCTTTAATCAATTTGCAGATGTGCCCACAGCATTGCCGCCCCTCACGCCCGGCACAAATCGCAAGGTGAACGAGGTGCTGAAAGCCTCATTTGCCTCCTGGGAGAAGGAGGTGCAGAACTGTAATATAACCAAAGGTAAGCAGCAGCAACATCAGCTCACTGGGAGTACTTAAAATTCGAATTCATTCATTCCCATGCACTTGCCTAGATTTCAATTGGTTGCATTGGCAACGCCAATAAAATAATAATTTACAAACAGTCCCATAGAAAAGACGTGATCATAAATGAATATTAATCGTTTCCCACAGCAATAGACTTAGAAATGAAATTTGGTTTACAGCGCTCCCACGCACAACAACAACAATAAAAAATACGAATACGAACACGACCACGAATAATAACAATTAATTAGACGTCCAATGAATGCGGCATTAGAAAATGTTTATTAATTGAATTACGTATTTTCATTTGTTAATCTGCTCGTTCTAGATCCCCGCGAATGGACGGAGGAGCATGTCATCTATTGGCTCAACTGGGCCAAGAATGAGTTCTCCCTGCTGTCCATGGACCTGGGCCCGTTCTGCAAAATGACCGGCCGTGAGATGGTCGAGCTGGGCAAAGAGAAATTCCTGGCCATAACGCCAGCGTTCACGGGCGACATTCTGTGGGAGCATTTGGATATACTACAAAAAGGTGAGCACGTGACAGGCATCGAACATCAGCAGCTGGCGCCAGTCACACATTAAGTCAATCACTCAGTCAGACAGCCAATCAGCCGGTCTGTCAACCACAAACTACTCTCCAGATTCAATACTCAATCAATAATATGTTTTTTCGAAACAAGTGTTATAATTTGATGGGGTTTCTAAGAGATCTGCGAGAAATGTAAAGTTGCTCAATATTAAATTATACATAGTTTAGTTGAATTTCATTTTAAAGTTACCTGAATAGGAATTACAGTGAGTGTTTGGCATACAAAAAGGTGGGAGAAGTTTTTACTATGAATTTATAAATGATAAAGCGTCATATAAAGGCTTTATTATGCAATAATTCTATCACATACAATGTTGATATGGCTCTAAATATATAATAAAAAATATAAACTAGGAAGCGACCAAATAAGCGTGATACTATTTTCGATGACTATATTTTATTAGCTGTTTTAGTTATCGATAAAATGTAGGTGTTCAAATATTGCATGAGACTTGCCATTTAATCATAAATTGCCCTTCGCTTAATTAAAAAATTCTTCGACGCTCGTAGTCTTCATCTTTCAATATTTCCATTTGCATTCTACAATAATTTCTTCTGCCTCTACTTACAATCCTTACGCTAACAAGCCGAACACCTTTTAAGATCTTCAACTATAGTCCAAGTAACATTGCTCATATAAAACAAAGCCAGCCCAAATTGTATCTTAAGCCTGTAGCATTGACAGCGGGGCAGAGGTGGCCATTTGCACGATGCATGACTTCTGTCATAAATAATGGCTTAATTTAGGCCTTATAATTAAATCAGCAACAACAGAGTATCTCAAGCTTATTCTGCTTTATTGCAATTTCTGTTTCTCTTCTTCTTATTTGGTCACTCAATTTATATAAATGAAATTATTTCACATAATTTTAGATTTTTCTATAATTTATACACAAATTTTTTTGCTACTCTGCTTAAATCACCCGAGTTTGAGTGTCCTTTTTTATCGTCCTTTTTTGTGTACAAGCTTTAACCAAATAGATTTACCTGTCCAGGCCAAATTGTCAGCTGAAGTGGGCGGAAGTCTTGGGGCCAGCAGAGGCAAACGCTAACAAAATCAAGGACCAAATTGATTTGGGGCGGAATGTTGGCTACTAACTTAGTTGCGAAAGGGGTTTGGCAAACTTTGTTGGCTACTGCCTGTTGCCTGTTACCTGTTGCCTGCCTGCTTCCTGTTTGGGCTTGGTCCGTTACGAATTTGACTTGGCCAAGCTTAACAATTTTTTTGTTCTGTTAAATTTATTGAATTTAAAAACCTAAAGAAAAGCTTTTAGTTCGGGTCGAGCCCCTAAAAAGGTAATGAAAATATTGTTGAACTAATTGAATTTCCTTTGCACAGATTGTGAAAAACCAAATGAGGATATTGTGCATGGCAATTCCTTTGAATCGTCCGCCAACGGCTCGGTCTGCGGATCAGAGCATCAGGTAGCCAATTACCAAGCAGCAACGCCGGCCACGACGCCCGTCTCCAACAACAGCCTTGCGAGTCGCCTGTCCATGGATTATGCGACAACGGCGGCGGGCAATGATAAGAGCAATCGCTACCACACAACACCTGCCATGCCACACAACGGTAAGCAAACGATTAGCCATAAGATACACAAGCACACGCAAGCAGATACTAGCGTATCTGTAAGATACAAATTGAATATCGAACCATAAATATACAACAGATTTGTTGGTATAATTAGTGTCAAATCCATGACATGTGATGTTCATTAAGCCAGCCAAGTTGTTTATGGCACATCCTCCCATGAAATACAAGTATGTAGATATCTTCTAGATAGATTGGCATATGTTTAGTGCATCCGGCGGAATGTTATTTCGGCAATAATTTGCTCGAGCAGGCAGCTTCGATTTCGACTACGACCACGACCACGTCCACGACTACGACTACGATTACGATGCCGATTACGATCAATGATTACGATTATGTATGGCAGCAATGGGCATATCCAGATCTTTATTAATCGCTAATGCGCTATGTGGAGTGCGAGATGCTTTTATTTGTTGTATTTTTGGATTGGCTTTTAATTTATTTATGTGAAATTGAAATTGAAACGGAAATTAAATTTTAAAACAAATAGCTAAATGTTGTCGGTGGCGGTGCGGCCGGCGCCAGCGTAGGCTGCCGGAGACCACGTCGACAGCATATCTAAATATCCATTTAATTTTGTTTACATATAAGGCAGCATTCGAAGCACGCGGCGACCCCTCCACGCACAGCTTGAGATACATTTATTAAATGCGTTGCCTGCCTGCCGTACAAATTGGAGCGACAGCGTCGCATCATTAATGCATTGTATCTTTCGCATTGTATCTGTATCTATAGCTGTATAGCTGTAAGGCAGCATCATTTGCATTGGCATCGGCAGCGGCAGCGGCATCTGCTGAGCCAGTGTTAACATGATGTAGCATGCGCCACACATATTCATTTTTTATTATTCAAAACTCTGCCCACAAGCTGCAGTTACAGTTAGCTGCCGCTGCCGCTGCTGTTGACATTATAATAAATTAATTGAATTTATGGTCTTTGACACATTATGACCATAAATGTTATATATATTTATTTTTATATATATTTCCATATGCGTAGCCATAAGTGTGCGCAGCTAATGAAATAGTCAAGCAATTTGACAAAAGACTAAATTTCTAAGCGTCTTTAATGAACTAGACGACTTTTGCATACGCTTCTCAAAGGCAAGTTGAAGATATAGTAAGATTAGTTATAGATTTATATATAAAGCAGATAGATGTTAACAGAGAGCGATTGATGTGCTAATATGTGCAGCTATGTCAAGAAGTTGTCAGTTCAATCATCAGCTGAACGCACTGCCTCAGCACTGCCTGTCCAGACCTTAACTATTTGAGAATTATATGCTAAAGGTATTTGAAAAGGTAACAAAAATGAGCATTCACTCTCCTTAAATGTCACCTGTTGGCTGGTACCTATAACCATTCCTAACTGCTTTTTATTTAAATATAAAGTCAAGCCTAGGATCAGCTCTAAGCAATCTGTTGAACAGCCATAATCGACAAGTCTTCTGCAAGTTATATAAACCAGCTCGCTGCAACCTGTTCAAGGCTCATTCTTAGAGTCCTGTATCTGCAACTCCATCATTAAGTCAAACAACTCTGCGAATCAGTAACTGTAACGGTAGACTGGGAGCTGGGAGCTGGGAGCTGGGAGCTGCTACGCAGTCGCAGCTAAGTTCTATATTAACGGCTGATCGTAAATCGTGGATAGTGCTCGGTCTTAAATGGTTTCTGTTAGTCGTCGCGTCTTCAATTTGATTCAATAATTTTCTATATGGACGTCGAGCCGCATGTGACTGTGTTTTATTTAATTTTTGTGTTATTTTTATTTTCTTCTCTCTCATCTTGCGGATCGTTTGCCCGCATACAAATTATGCGAGTCGGCTTGTCATCGTGCGGTGTTTGGGTCTGGACAACCCTCCTGCTGGTTTTGTAGGTTGTTGCTTAATTCGTTTCGATTGTCTTTTTGTCAGTCATTAATTTGCTGCATTTACATATTATTGATGTTCAAGCTGATCCCCACTCCACTTTCGTCTCCCCAGCTTTTAGCTTGGCCATTTGCATACACGAATTTATGTACACGTCTCTGTGAAGCTTCCTAAGATTGTGTGAAAATTGCTTGGGAATTGAAGGGATATGCGGACAGAAGTGCTTGCCCCATTGACACTTGGACTCTGACTTAAGTCCTTAAGTGCATTGGCAATTATGGTAATGAAGTCTTGATATTTATACCAACCAGGTGTTCGGCCGGCGGATCTTGGCTTGACATTTGCAATTAAACGCGCCTCTCGACAAACTCGAATATCGCCATCAAAACTAAAACAAATTATGATTAATTGTGCCCATTAAAATTGAGTTTATGCCTTGCCAAGGGTTTTCCAAACTTAACAGTCGAAGAGCCAAGAAACAGTGTCATGAACGACCAGCTACTAACTTGAATTTATTTTTATGGCCGTTTCTTTTATTTTTCTTCTGTTTTTTTTTTGTGTATTCTTTGGTAAAGTTTGTTTTAATTTGAGCTGCCGCTGCTGCTGCCCGCACCTACAGCTCTTGACTGGCATCCAGCAAATTCAAGCAACACCTACAACCGAAACTCAGCCAAGCGCAAAAAAGTTGAAAACGCTTCGAATTTCGTCATCGGGCAGCAATTTCTGAACACATGCATATAGCAGATATACTATATATCTATAGATATATATATATATATTCCATAGTTAGGCATACCCCTGTTGAATGATTTACAATTGCTGGCCGCATTCTGGAACGCATTAGATTGAGGTGTTATGTGGCAGGCGGCACAGTTTTCGACTCTCTGCAGTTCACTTTCGATGGGCCAACTCCCTTCTGTAGTGGAACGATGATTTTCCTTAGATTTTCTCGAATCAATTTTGCAGAGCTAACGCTTAGTCATCGGCTTGTACAAAACGCCCAGATACAATAACTCACAGATAGCTCACATATGATTAGTGTTGCGTACGTATTGGTGTCTCTATGGACAGCCAGGGTCTTTCAGTGTTTTGCTTGAGAGCGCATCTGGGCTAGTGTATCTTAGATATTTGCACGCAAAATTGTTTCTTCTTTTTTATTAGCGCTGCCTTCGCGTATTGTTCTCTCGGTTAGCTGCAAAGATGTGGTCAGAATCATATGCTAGCCTGGCTTTATTGGAAGCCCTTAGTGCTTCGCTAGGAAAGGCCAGCTACCTTTCGACACCAAGCGCTATGGCTGCTTTCGACTATTGTTAAACGGATTTTTTGCGAAAAATTTGTTCTATTTTCAGCGTATATTGTTTTTAGTGGCATAGTTTATAGATATATAAAGATATATATATACATATATTTCTACACAATAAAATGCCTGATGCGTGAAATGTTTGTCCAAGCTTGAAGAGTTGCCATTGTTGCCGTTGTGTGTGGCTGTTGATTCATGTTCATCATCATCAGCAACAGCAAAAGCAACATCATGCCGATGTCGGCATATAACCTCAGCCCAGCCAGCCAACCGATCAGACAGACCTGAGAGTCAGTCAGGCAGTTTGTCAGTTAGCCTGGTGAGTGCTCCATTCGCTTTTCAGATCGCCTGGCCATGCGAGCTGTGTCTTTGCTCGTGCCGCGCGTAGGTTGTTGCCACACGAAATGACACATTTAATGCATATTTGACTTGTAGATACATTTGAGTGCGCATACAGACGTCCCATCTCCACCTTCAACTACTCCCTGCCACGGGGTCAGAGTCAGAACTAACGCCTCTGATCGCCATATTGCGTGTCACACACACACACACGCACTCACACACACACTTAAGTCTTGCTGTGAACTCTGGCGGCGATCGCGAATATAAGTACGAGTACTCGTGAGTGTATTTGTGACAGTTGTGGAGTCTTGAGTGTGTGCCAAGCGTTTTAGTTTAGTTACAGTTTGTTAGTTTTGAAAGCGACAATGGAATTCTGTGCATGTGACAGATTACACGAGTACTTGTTTACACATGTCTACATGTGTATATATATGTGTGTGTGGGTTTATAAAAAGTTAAGGTCAATTTACTTTACATTTGCTTGTGAAAAGGTGAACTAAAAGATATAATTACATAGCTTGAGCAGCGCATTAAGCCGAATTTGGATAAAGAGCTTTGTCTGGAAGAACACAGTTCAATGAGATTTAGTATAACTTTGAGAATCGCAGAGAAAGACGCACATTTGTTGATTAACATTATCAATTTTAAGTACGTCCAGTAGCGATATCGCAATGTGTTACATATGAGAATCACTGAGAAAGGCGCATAAATGAAATATTTCTAGACATTATAGAAACTTAGCTGCAAACATTTTATCCATAAAACTGATTGATGCAGATAAATGAGGATACTAGGCACGTACTCTAAATATGAGAATCACCAAGAAAGGCACACAGTCTAGCAATTTATTGACTACATTAAATAAACTTAGTTGCAAGCATAGACTCTATAGAGTTGATTGATGCACACGCACTAGATAAATGGTTTATTGCGACTGAGAATCGCAAAGAAGGGCACATACATTTAGATTTCATGATTACTTCTTGATTAGCATACAATGTAAGGCACATAAAATAAATAAAATGAATCTTTAGAGTCATCCGCCTTTATTAATTACTCTAAATTCAGCCATTAACGCAAGACAATTTTCACCTCCCACAAATTATGTGGCAACGAAGCAGAACATGGCGACGGTCAAAAGCCGTGATGGGGAGGAGACAGATAGCCAGACGCCCAGCTAATAAACGAACCACGCACCATGGCCAAGACAGAGCACATAAGGCCCTTAAGTCATAACAACTACGACTCAACAGAATTATGTTGATTGCAAATTTGTTAAGGTCATAAAATTAAATTTCGTTTTTAATTTTAACGCCATTGTTTCTGCAGCGAGGCAGAGCAGAGCAAGCAAAAGAAAAGAAAAGGAAAAAATGAGAATTAGCTACTAGAAGTTAGCATCGGACATCAGGCATATTATTATAGCATTTAGCGGAATTTAATGCGCCCACTTCAGGCCGTGGCAGAGCC